TGAGATCCCAGACTGTACAACTCCTATTTCTCCAGGCCGTACAATCCTTAATAAAAAAGGAAAAAAGGATTAGGACATCTGTTTCTGAAAGAAAATAGTCTTACTTCTCCTGTAGGTCTCTATCACTGAGACTTTACCATTAGCATTAAGACAAGAAGACAGAAAGTTGGCAGAGAAATGTTCGCAGTTTTTTTGAGCTCCTTACTTATTGCTATAAATACAAATGTAAAAACAAAATATTCCAAGTGCTACGTGACAAAATACTTTCTACAATGATTTTAACTTTTTAATAGAACTTTTAAGATGATTGCAGAGTATAACATTTGATTACCCAGAAAAATCAAAGAATAGGGCTGGGGGTGTGGCTCAGTGGTATACTGCTTGTTTAACACCCACAAGGCCATGTTCAATCCCCAGCACTGAACAAAAGAAAAGGTATGGAAATTAGAAATTATTTTATCCTGAAAAAATGGTTGTTATCACTAACTATAAAATTTTCTATGTAAAGTTGACTGATGCCAGAGACCCACCCCAGGCCACCCAAACAATTCCTGGGGGTGAGGCATAGGTCCTTTCTTTTAAAAGAAGCTCCCAGGAATCTTTCATATGACACCACAATTAACAACTATTGCCTTGGAAGAGCACAGAACCAAGGAAGTACTTCATACTCTAAAATTACATGTTATTTAGGAGACTAACAAAATCTTATTTACTTTCTAGATTATAGTAACTCTGGATTAATTCAAACTAAGTAAAATGGAACAATTTTATACTAGTTATTTATAAGTAGCAATCTTATGTTTAAAGTATGGGAATGATATTGTGTATATTAAATGAACCATAATTCCAGTTGCAACTTTTTAAAAAAATTGGCCAAAATAAGAAACAAAAGGCTCTAAAACTAGTAGGGTGATTAGGGATGGGAAAGAAGAAGAATACAGTATTTTCTGATATCTTTAAAAAAAAAAAAAAAAAAGTATTTAGAAAACCAGGCCTGGTGCACACAGAGCCTTGGGAGGCTGAAGCAGGAAGATTCAAGTTTGACATTAGCCTCAGCAATTCAGCAAGACCCTGCCCCAAAACAAAAAACAAAAAGGGTTGGGGATGTAGCTTTCCCATATCAAGAAGGGGGGAGGGGGAAAAACACTAGAAATTTCTCATATTCCGTTATATTTACTTTCATAATATCTAAAAATGATACAGAAATTTCAAATCTGAAAATGTTTGACGAAATTCTGCATAAATTCTTGATATTGGCTTATGAAATCCACAGAGAATGTTAAAGAGGAGAAATAGACATTGTTGATGATAAAGAAAGAGCAGTTATTCTCTAGAAACCTTTAACAGAATGGGCAAATGTCAGTTTGGGGCCTCCTGCCAGTTGGCAGACACAGCCAGGCTTCTCCACCTCTAACCCCCATCTAAACAACATTGTGGGATGCCTGATAAGCCACAGCATTAGGCCAACAACAATGCTAACAGCAGTGAGTACAAACTGCTAATGGACCTTTACAAAAAAAAATAAATAAATAAGAACCCTGTGAAGAAAAAGATTCTTTTTAGTCCATTAAAAAGAAAAGGGGGGAAAAAAAAACATAAAAACTGAATTTCTGTCAGGGAAAAAAAAAAAGTTCCTCAAAGAATCAGCGAAAGTTGAAAAGGACAATGCTAGTATAGACCTGGAATACAGTACAGACAAGAGTGATTATAACTTCTGAATATAAGTGAAACAAAACTTTCTTTGCCAAGGAATTACAGTTCCATGAACACATAATCCACATAACCATGAAATTCTTTGCTACTATTGCCTAGAGTTTTCCAGAAGAAATAAAACATCCATGTATAATGGATTTGTAACTAGGGAAAAACTGAATTAGAAAAATTTCAAAAATAACTGACTTAACACTATAAACACTTTTCCTCCAAATAAGACCAAGAAAAAAATGAAATTCCTATTAAAAAAGGAAAGCAGAATGTAAGTAAAATCAATTAATAATCCTGAAACTGCTTGCTTCTAACACCACTTCTTCCTCCACTCTCCCTAAGCAGGTTTTTTTTTTTTTTTTTTTTAAGAGAGAGAGAGAGAGAATTTTATTTATTTTTTAGTTTTTCGGCAGACATAACATCTTTGTTTGTATGTGGCGCTGAGGATCGAACCTGGGCCGCACGCATGCCAGGCTAGTGCACTACCGCTTGAGCCACATCCCCAGCCCCCCAAGCAGGTTTAAGAAGCAACATCCTTCCTTTTCTAGGAAGAATAAATACTATCCAGATTACTTCCCACAGTTACTATTACTATACTACTATATGTAAGGCTGTATGTTAGTGCTCCCCAGTCTCTCTCTTAACCCTGTGACTAATGTTTATTATTTTCATTTCCATTTTAGAGATGAGGAAAAAATTTAAACTTAGGATACATAACTAGCAAGTAGTATAACATGGAGATCAAAAAAGGCAGGTCTTGGGCTGGGGTTGAGGTTCAGTGGTAAAGCGCTTGCTTAGCATGTGTGAAGCACTGGGTTCCATCCTCATAAAAAAAAAGTTAAAAAACAAAACAAAACAAACAAACAAACAAAACAACTAGCAGGTCTCACTCCATAGCCTATACTGGTTACTATAAACTGGAGCAGTAGTTTTGTTAGATCTCTCCTCTCAAAGGACTGATATTCACATGCTCTGTGAATAAAACAGAAAGGGAGCACAGAAGTACTTTATAATTTATCTAGATAAGAGCACCTGCACTGCTTTTTTAAAACAAGACGGGGGGGGGGGGGGGGAATCTGCAGTCATTTAAGACCCCAACTCTTTTCTGGTCTGTTATTACTAAGATGGACAAGTTGGTCAAGCACCACCTACGGACCATAGTAAATAAATCACTTTGGTTCAGTGGTAGGGAGGGCATTATGCAATATTTCCCAGCATAGCCCTGACCAGGATTATTTTACGACCAAGACACTTGGGCCCCTCCTCCCCAGCTAGACAGCCTGGCTCCTTTGCATTCCCCTCAGGAGATAGGGTGGAAGCACATAACTCCACTTTCTGAGGCATAGAGGGCAGCTGAAAGTCCTGCTTGGCCTCTATGGGCAACCACAGGCGCCAATAAATCAGCCACAGGCGATTCTCTCATCCCCTTCCTGGCTTGAATTGGGAGCAACATATAATGCAAAAGAGTACAGACTAGACTTGGAAGATAAGGGATCTAGGTTGAAATTCCTCCGTAAATGAATTTATCATCATAGGTAAATCTCTCTGAGCCCATTTCCTCAGAGTTTTAACACATTTATAACATGGAGACAGTATTTTCTTCTTCTTGGGAAGAATTCAGAATTCATCTTTGAAAGCAGCTGGTATGGGACCTGACCCACTAAATGTACTCAATAAACCTAACTTGAGCAGGATCCATCTCAGCTATATCCAAAAAAAGACATTCAGGATAGGACTGGGCAAAAAGATATAGCAGGTAAGGTGGGGTCCCTTCCAACTTTCTTGTTAACCATCCCTTGATGTTTTATTGCCTCTTGGTTTCATACCAGTCATCAGAACTAACTTATTTCATGTCATTAGTATTCTGTCCCATAATGGATTCATAGTTTATCCTTAACTAACACATTCAGACTCCTAGAGGCTTTGATGCCCAAACCTAAAAACCAACCCATGCCACAAGGTTGTAGTTCTTGCAGAGAATAGAGCTAAAGGGTTTTGTTGTTGTTTGGTTTTGGTGAGAGGTATTGGGAGGGAGAATGGGCTTTTGGCCCCAAAGCACATCACCTGCTGCCTAACCCGCCTAGAAACGGTGCTATCTCCCTACTGCAGAGCCATCACATACTGGCCAAGACTGATTTCTTAATAAACCTGAGAAATCCTACAAGCCAAGTGTAATCTCCTTTGGTTGATACATACAGAGCAGGTTAAACTGGCACAGCAGTCCTGGCATGGTGGAGGATGCAATGTCCGAATGTCTGTAACTATGAACTCCAGCTGAGAGATGGAGGCCCTAGATCAAGCAGATCGAGAAACACCATGCCCTTTAGGCTTGGTGTCCTTGTAAATATCTGGTTTTTGTTTTCTTATTTTGCTGTACTGGGGATGGAACCCAGAGCCTCGTGCATGGTAGAAAAGCGCTCTACTACTGAAGCCCTGAACTGAGTTTTATGTAAGGCTTCTCAGCTCAAACGTTTGAGATTATGAAATGTCCTTCACATACTTGACAGAATCCTGAGTGAATCAACAGTTCTGCCAAAAGGACTTGAGTCTAAAGAGAAAGAATACCAAATTTAACCCCTTGCAGGGAAATACAAAGGTTAACTTATAAAACACGTTAGCTACTGCCAGGTTCTAGGTACAGCGCTGCTCGCTGCCCAGGAATTGATTAGCGCTTGATTTCTCCAAGTAAGTGCTAGGGAGACGCTGATAAGATGGGGCCAACTTCAAAAAGAAAAACTGAATTTGCTTAGAATGACGTAAACATTTTAAAGAGAGAGAGAGAGAGAGAAATTACTGGGATTAGGGACCTAGCTTTCTGCCCTTGAAACTGGGTACTCACAAACTGGAATGGGGAGGAGATATTGGCCGCTGCGTCCGCGCAGCTGCACCTGCAGACCCTCCCGCTTGTAAGATGGGTGGGCCCAGTTGCGGGTGGCGGGGGGGGGCGGGGGGGGCAGACGCGTCATGAGTATCGGGGCTTCAGGCGCGGGGTCGCACCCAGGCCCTCAGCAGGGAGGGTTCCAGGCCTGCGCGGTGCGACCGCGCGCCACACCCGCCTGCGTCAGGCCCCAGCCGTGGCACCAAAGGGCAGCTCTGGTCATCCACCCAGCGCTCATTCAAGGTTGCCATTTTCCTCCTGCGCCCTGAATGACATCTCAAACAGATCAAAAACACCCCTCTCCCCAGCTACTTGCATCTGTCTCACGGCCGATGCAGCTGCAGCCACAGCCCCGGTGGCTAGCGGCGGGAGGGACTGAACCCAGAGCAGCCCACAGGGGCTGGGCCGCGACGCTTACCCAGACGCCGCCGCGGCGGCGGGCTGGCTTCTCTATGCGGGAGGGGCGGGCTCCGCGCCGCGCACTGCACGCGGCAGCGCCGACTCACGCACTCGGTGCCGGGCTCTCGCGCGGCTTCCCGCGTCGGCCGCCGCGCGATGGGCCCACGTGATCGTGCGCCTAGTTTCTGGGGAACCAGCGACGAGGGGGCCGGGTGTGCGTGCTTGCGTGCGTACGTGTGCGCCCGCCCGCCTAAGTGGCCAGACGGGGGTCGGCCCGCGCTCTGGGTGCCGCCACGGTCCCCAGTCCTGACTCTGTTAGCGGAAGCGTGGGGCTAAGCCTGAGCGTCACAGGCTCCCCACATACAACCGCGTGACCTGGGGACTTTCCCCAGGGTGTGCAAAAGCACGGACACCCCCGCAGTTCTGAGGCCGGGGTGGGGGCGGGGAAGATGTGCCCGCGTGTTCGGCGGGTGAGGGCGCGGGGACAGCCAGGCCGAACCGCGGGAGCCTGGGAGGCGAGGCGGTCTGGACGGGGTGGAGCATGGCGGGGGAAGTGACTCAAGGCCAGTGGCGGACAGGCCCAATGAAGGCAGGGTGGGGGGAACGCGGGGAATGGGCGTCCCAGAGCGGATGAACCGCGGACAGGATGGGGCGAGGGTACCGGCGCCCCCAGAACGCCCCGGGCATACCGCGAGGGAGAGGGCCCAGCAGCTGGGCCCTGCTGGGCGGGGGTCTAACATCTGGGACGAATGGTAAAGCATCATCCTGCCCTTGGGGAGTCGGGAGGAACCCAGTCCCATCCAGCTGTGCAAACAGAAGGAGGTTCCAAGCCTACCCTTGGGAGAGGGGCGAGAGGGGTGGTCAAGCCGCCGCCACGACGGCCCCCGCGGTGCGGGTTGTGCCAGCCTCCTCGGAGCCCGACGCAGAAACTTGTTGCAACAAACAGGCGACCGCGGGTGCCCCTAGCAGCCAGCGTCGGAGTGGGTGGGCGGGCGAGAGGGAGGGGAAGGCTGGCGGACGCCGCAGCGAACTGGTGGGCAGACCCGGAGTCGCCGCGTAAGCGGGGCCGGCTCAGTGCGGTGCGGCAGGCGCGGCTGTGCGGCAGCGGAAGTCCTTTGTTGCAGCACAGTCCCTGGCAGAGCCAGAGTCTCTCCGCGCAGCCCAGCCCGAGCTCAGCGCGCCGCCGCCACTGCAGCTCGCGGCCCCTTCGCCTCCGCCCGCCTTTCCCGCGGCTGATTTGCCTTAAACTCCCTAAAATCTCCGCAGCCCGGGTTCCTGCTGCGGCGGGTGAGTATTTGCCAGTTGTGGGGCTATTTGCGCAACTTTGGCCCGGGTCTGAGGGCGGCGGGCCGCGGGCCTGGCGGAGTGCGGGGCCAGAGGGGCGCCGACCCGTGCGGGAAGCCGGAGCAAGGCGGAGGCGCTGGGAGGAACTGGAGACCGGCGGCTGCTGGGCCGCCTGCTCTACGTCGGCGCTCCAGGTCCCGAGCGTGCGGCCTCCCTGGGTGGGAGGCGAAGCCCGGGTGGAGAGTAGTTACCAAATAGTTATCATCTTTTCCCTTTCTTTCTCTGCCTTTATTTTATTTTTTTAAGGGGGGAGGGGAGGTGTAGACGGGAGGCGGGAGGACCCGGTTGATTGACGGGCCCAGGGCCCGCTTCTCTCAACTTACAGCTGCGGCTCCTCGGCGGGTGGGAGGGGAAGTGTCCCGGAGCCCGAGGCCGCAGACTTGGGCGCGCTCCGAGGGAGGAGGCATAAGAGCCTTGCAAATTCTCCTACGCGCCTTCCCACCCGCTCTCGCCGGCACACACGCTTTTTTGTTCAGTAAAAAGTGGTAGGTCTGGGTATCGGGAATTTTCAGTGGGAAAGATCTTCTGTTTCTTGGGAAGAAAGTGCTTTCGCCTCCAGTGGTGGCCGCTTACTAGAAGTTCGGTTAGTTTCGGTGAATGTGTTGTTGGCTGTAGATCCGGAGTTGTTACCACTGGAGTGTGTAGGCATGGGTCTGACTGAGCTCCGCTCCGTCTCCCTTTCCACCTAAGCAACGCGTCCACATGATCTGAACGGTTGACAAGACGTTTTCCTAGTTGGGCGCGTCTGGAAGAGGTTGATAAAAGTCGTTGTTTTCAGTGCTTTAAGGCATTTGTTTGTCGTGATAATGTTCCTAAGTCGAGTTTCAGCGTACATGCAGTTTCAGGTACATGCAGATTCTGCGTTGGCCAAAGTGTATTTTCATACCGTGTTACGACGGGAACAATTTTCCCATTGATACTCGAACCCAAAGGAGCGGTCCGAGGCTTTTTGAGGCAACTTAGAATCAATTTCTTGAGTGAAGGTCGAGGCACTCTAAGGCAAATTTGTTGAAGGTTGCAATATGACAACTTCAAAGCACTCATGATTTGCTTTGAAACGAAGAAATTAGATTCTGTGGAATCTTATTGGTAAAATTGGACATGATGTGGAGAAACGGGAGATTTGTAGATACAGGAAGATGAAGCCTGACTGATGGCAAGCCATCATTTGCTCAGAATTAAAACTTTTATTTTGAATCACTTGCTAAGTATCTAAGTCTCAGTAAAACTGAATAGCTTTGAGAGCCAGATGGGGCATCCTCCTCTTACACAGAAGAAACTGAAGCATAGTGGAGGTGAAATGCTTTTCTCCAAAGGTTAATAAACAGAAAATCTACAGGAAGCCTTTAGTTAACACACTGATTTTTATAGCAGGATTTCTTCATTAAGACCAAATTTTCCTGCTATTCAGTAACTCAGGCCCCGCAGTCTATTTCTTTCCACCTCTAACATGATGGCTACTCTTTAGGTGTTTTTTTGAGGGGTGAGGAGGCTAGTGCATCATTGTCAGAGAAGAGAAACCATGTTTTAACCAGGACTATAGCGGGGCATGAGCACAGTCACAGCCATTTGCTATTGACCTTGTGTTTTGATTTCACTTTAACACTGCTTATTTTTGTACTGCTTCCTCATTCTCCTCTTTTGCCAGGCTATGGGGAAGATAGTGGACCTTTTTCAAAGTGTCTCCATGTTCTTTGCAGCACCATTTCTCTCTTTAAATGTGCAGGAGAAAAGAAGTGCCTGCTTTCAGGCCTGTCCTTCTCTGGCCAGGAAAGACATTAAGTCTTCACTGTTGACCTTCTGGCCCAAAGGGGAAAAAACCATTTGGGACAGAAATTCAGAAATTTTTCCTTAGCTTTTTACTTTTTATGCTACAGTCTTTCCCCCAAATCAAGGTATATTTGAGAAACATCTCCTTGAGAGGTCATTTTGGTCTCTATCAGATGTTTTCTCTTGATATTTTCTTCTTGTGCCAGTACCTTTTATGATAGATTGCTTTGTAATTTTTCTTATATTCTAATGTGAACCAAGTCAAGTGTTATTCATGTCTATTTTTTCCTCAAAATGGAAATACTTTTTTAAAATTATAAAATACATACTCTTTGTAAACATTCGATCTATGCTGAAATACATAAAATACAAAAATGAAAGTCATTCTGACTCCCACTCCTCAGAGATAATCACCAGGAACAGTCAATTCCTTGTTTTAAAAAGGAAAGAAGGCAACATTTGATCACAGCTGTGCTGCTGCATGTGCCTTACCCTGCCTAGGGATGGCCTGTCATGATTCATGGGCTCATGTTCCCTGTTCACTGCTTGAGTTGGTGAGAATTGCCAGGTAGGGAAAAAGGGAGTGTTTTGAATTGAGCTGATTTTAAATTCTATGATGGAGTAGCAGACATGAGAGTTTAGACTTATCAGAGTTGCTGTCTTCGCTTTGTTCTCCTGAAGTGTACCTTGGTGGGTGGGTTCTCACACTTTTTTTTTTAATTTTATCTAGTCTCTGATGGATTGTTTTATCCAAGCCAAATGCATTAAAACAAGTCAAACCCCTCACATGTAGAAAATTTCCTTATTTATAGTTGGGTGTGAGTGGGTGTAATTGGGATAAAGACCACTCCCAATGTATCCCTGTGCTGATGTGGATGATGGAGGTTAAAATAATAAATAATAATAAAATGTGAAAATTAAAGAAATAGTTGCCGAAAATTTCTGTTGTGTATGTAAGATGGATTTTTTTTTTTTTTCTTTTTTAGAAATAACTGAAGAAGGTCCATCCCCACTTTAAAATCCTAGTGTTTGGGGAGGACATTCTATAGTGGGCAGCAAGAATCTGGTTAGGGAAAAGGCAGGGCATTCTGCCTGCCTGTAAGATGGAGCAGTATGAGAATGATGCGAACTTTTAGATTTGTAAAAAAGGGAGATTCTGGGAAGCTTAGAATGTTCCAAAAGAGCAGTGTGGTTGATAGTCATGTCCAGAAAGTGTTGGTTGGCTTACAGAAACTGTAACTTAGAACTTTTACTTAAAAGACAAGCAGTTTGGGGTAAATCAACCACAGGACTTGTTTCTTCATTCACAAAATGAGGATAATAAAAATACCTATCTTGGGGGCTGGGGTTGTAACTCAGTGGTAGAGCGTTTGCCTGGCATGTGTGAGGCACTGGGTTTGATCCTCAGCACCACATAAAAATAAATAAGTAGGGGCTGTAGCTCAGTGGTAGAGTTCTTGCCTAGCATGTGTGGGATACTAGGTTCAATCCTCAGCACCACAACATAAAAATAAACAAAGGCATGCTGTCCAACTACCAAAAAAATAATTAATTAATTAATTAAAAATAAATAAGTAAAATAGAGGTATTGTGTCCATCTACAACTAAAAATATTTTTTATAAAAACCCTATCTTGGGTAATTGTGAGAATTAGTTGTATAATGCATGAAAAATGATCTGTAAATTGTCAGCCATGTGACAAAGCAAAAAGTTGGTAAGCAAAATAAAACTTAACCTACTTCAACAATTATTCATCCAAAAACCATCAAATATCAACTAAATGTCAGGCAACTGGAGGCTCAGAGGTTACAGTAATGACTAAGTGTTCTAAACCTTACAATAAAGCAGAGGAACTAAATAATTATAATACCTACCTTAAGCGCAGTGATAGATGTAGCATCCAGTTTAGATGATAAATTTTTGGCCACCTTGTGGTTGTATGTATACAGAGTTTGGGAAGCATAGAAGAGAGTGCTCTGCCTCTTCCTGGGATCAGAAAGAACTCCCCAGAGAATGTGAGCTGGACATGGAAAAGGTTCTAAGCAATGGTGTGAAGGTAGGAATGCTTTCACGGTGTTAGGTGATTTGGGATGAAGGAAAATCTTAAATAGATTTATGACTTAAAATGGAGTTAAGTTTAAGCTTCTTAACTTTTTTTTTTTTAATAGTTTTTAGTCATCAGTGGATCTTTTATTTATTTATATGCATTGTTGAGGATTGAAGCCTGGGCCTCACACATGCCAGGTGAGCACTCTAGCACTGAGCCACTACTCCAGCTCCTAAGCTTCTTAACTTTTATGCTAATCTTTATTGGTTTCATTTCATTGAATTTCCTGCCCCGCCATCCTGGGGACTGAATTCTGGGGTGCTCTACCACTGAGCTGTATCCCTACCCCTCTTTATTTTTTGAGACAGGGTCATCCTTTACTCTCAAATGATTCATAAAGAACAAGAATTAGACCTCTAGGTCTTGTTTATTTTGAGAGAGGGTCTCACTAAGTTGCTGAGGCTGGCCTTGAACTGGTGATCCTCCTGCCTCCAAGTAGCTGGGATTAGAGTGGTGTGCCACTATTTTCAACTTCATTTTGTTGAATTTTAATTAGGAGTGTGGTTAGAATTATGCACAAACAAGTGGCTGGGATTGTGGCTCAGAGGTGGAGCGCTTGCCTAGCATGTGTGAGGCACTGGGTTTGATCCTCAGCACCACATAAAACTAAAATAAAGGTATTGTGTCCACCTATGACTGAAAAATAAATGTTTAAAAAAAAAAGAATTATGCACAAACAAAAAACACTGGGGCCACAGAGTTGAAAAGTGTTACATGTGTAAGATTTCCTAAAAGAAGGAAACTGGTAATCCCTGCCATCATTGCTGAGATCTACCTTACCTGGTTCTTCATTCAGTAACTGTTCACTGAATAGTTACGTTCCACATAAAGGAATAAGCCAAAGTCCTTGCCTTCAAGTTGCTCACAATCTACTGAGGCATACCAACACATATGTAATTGTAGCCAGTTCCTACTTAGCACTTTGTGACTGACATGCCTATGGTAACTCTAAAAGCTACCATCCCTTCACAGTTGAAGAAAGAGGCACAAATTGGGTAAGCAGCCTACTCAAGGTCTGGTTAATCAGTACTTTAATGCCCACTATATATATATATTGCTGTTCTAA